GTGTATATATGAATTTATATACTTGTGTTTTTATATAAGTAGCATCATACTAAGTATATGCCATGCAACTTGATTTTTCACTGAAGAAAAACTCTTTTAGATGTTTCCATATCAAATGTATGGAATACATCAGAGACCTGTGTTGTTGCACAACATCCATCAAAGTCTGTTTAGCTGTTTACTTGGTAGACACTTAGGTTGATTCAAATTTCAGCTATCACAAATAATTCCACAATAAACATCCATGCATATGACTCTTTATACTCATGTCTGAAAGTTTCTCTAAGTTAGATGGTGAAAAATGGATTTGCTGCACTACATATAGCATATGTATATTTTAAATTGTGGCCAAGGCTGCAATACTGATCTCCAAAGTTCCTGTAAAAATTTTAACTTCCACCAGCAGTGTACACAAATTATTGTTTCCACATACCCTCACTAATATTTGATGTTGGTCAAAGTTTATATAAATATAAACTATATATATATATATATATATATGCAATTTTATATGTGAATATGGTATATTGCATATGACTATTTTATCATTCTAGAATCATTCATGGATAATGTTCACTTTTTGTTTATTGTTTTATACTTAGGCTCCAAGTAACTTACAAAATATTGACTTGCATGATCTCTGCAGTGCGACAACATGTAGCCTTTATGTTAAAGTGCTTCAGATTCCTAAATACTCATCTCCTCACTCTTCCTTTGAGATCTAAGAAGGACCCATTTCTCTTAATACTCTTTCTTATGTCCTTGGGTCTTCTTTGAAGTCATCAGCATCTTGGAAGATCTTAGCTGGGAGATAGGAGGAAAGAGGGCAGTGGGAGATAATAGATTAGAAATATTAATAATAAAATGCATCATACTACCCCCTGCCCCCAGGTAAATCTGATAATGTTAACTGTCAATGGTGCTCATGTGCACATGCAAAGGGTTTTATAAAGAGACCTATAGTAGCAAGCCCATCGCCATCATTTAAGACTAAAAAAGTGAGAACTCTTTTTAAAAAAAAAATATGCGTCAGAGGCAGCATTGGCTAGTCCAATACCAGCATATCTTTTGCTATCTTCTGCTAGTAAAACTCTTCCAGTGAATATGAAATTAATGGAGAAAATATTGATTTTGGCTGTTAATTTGCTTTCAAAAATTGAGCTCCCGCAATCTTGGTAGAGTAAGTCTAAGACATATCTGTTTATCCATTTATTCCTATTAAAATGGCACTTCTAGAAAATATTATTTGGTATTAATCTGGTGAATAGTGTTATAAATGCCAGAGTTTATGTTTATTATACTTATTAAACTGGTCCTGATATCTCATAAAAATAAAATAAATGGCAGGGTTAGAAATTGAATACTTTGTATAATTCTTCAAATCTTTAATATTCTGTTTATTAAGTTTTTATTGAAATACAATACATGGAGGACAGAGTGAGTGAGCAGAATTTCAGAGCTATATAGCAGCTGAGCTCCAGCAGTCCTGGGAGAAAAATAGCCACGCTACTATTTCTTTCATGAAAATCTCTTAGACTTCCAAAGTCTCTACATTCCTGGAAATTTGTTCTTCAGAGATAGAATGGAGAAGTCACCTTTTTCCTTTAGGGAGTGCTTTTGTTGAAGAAAACAGGCCGAATTAGAGACTTTCCACTTATCCAGAGCTGATTGGATTTTCCACCATTGTCACATTTCCATAGGAACAGAAACAATCTCAGCAGTGAGAGCAGAAGGAGCAAGGAAAGAACGCTGACAAAGGCTTGGAGAAGCACATAGGCAGAAATAACCTTTTGGGGAATTCTTGGAGGAAAAAAATAACACTGACTTTTCCATCATCATTTCTTCACCTAATAATAGTGCTGAGCACAGGATATGCCTCTTGCCTTGCACCATTTGGGGACAGGGAGTAGCTAAATTGAAATTGGGGTCCAGAGAAGGAAATTCATGGAAGTCCAGTTTAATGGAATTCTAGCTATTGCATGAGAGAGAATGAAGAGGCAGCCATGTTGCTAAAACTTAGGAGTAACTTTCGCTGTCAGGGAATCGAGCTCTTTTATGAATCACTTAAACTCCCTTGTGCCTGCTTTTACAACTTGACAGTGATAATATCAATTACTTTTCAAAAATTTCCCTGGTCTATTAGAGTAAAATGCTAATTATCATACAGCACTATGAGAACTTCCAAAGTAATGCAAGATATTATTAGAGCAATACTAAAATATTCCATATGGACCTAAAATCTGAATGGTCATATTTCTTGTTTCTCTCTATGTGTCAAATCTGACCTAGACAGAGGACTAACATGGAGAGTAGGCACAGTAAGTAATTGCTTTCATAGGATAACTTAATAAGTTCTAGAAATACCTTCGGTGTCTATAACTGGGTATAGAGATTACAGAGTCATTTCTGTAGTAGTAATTGAAACCATAAGACAAAAAAAAAATGCATTCTCTAAGAGAAAGAATACAGAGCTGGAACAGTTAAAGATGAACCTGGAGCACTAGGCATTTTTTTTTTTTGTAAAGGGCCAGGCAGTAAGTATTTTAGGATCTGAAAGCCATGTAGTCTCTGCAGCAAAAACTGAATTCCGCCATTGAGCATGAAAGCACCCATAGACAGTACATAAACAAATGTGTGTGGCTGAGTTCTAATAAACTTTATTTGCCAAAATAGGCAGTGAGACCTACTTTGATGACTCCTGCCCTAGATCATAAACCTCTTAAGGACAAGGACTCTATCTTATTTACTACATGTCCCCAATAACCTACGTGACTGACACCTAGTAGGGGCACAACTAAGATTTTTTAAATTAATAATAAATTATTACTTTTCTTTGTTTACTGATTTAAATTAAACACTGTGTTCTGATTCTGTTTCAATGCGCTTTCTGTGGGGTGCCTAAAATGTAACAGGCACTGGGCTATTTTACCTGACAACTTCCATTGTTTTATTTGTTGACCTTTTTTTTTTTTTATCTTCAACTTATTTTTTTTCTAGTTGCTTCTGTTGTTTAGTTGCTTATTTTGACTGTCAGAAGTTCCTCAAAAGGGATTCAAAGTAAGCACATTTGAGAAGTAAACAATGAGCGTTTTTATGAATTTGCATTTTTGATGTATTTATTTTACTAAACTATATCCTTTAAGGGAGACATCATTCTCTAATGTGCATTCTATATAACACCAGTTCTGCAAGACGTTTCTTTAAAAAAGGTCCCTTAGTGAAAAAACTTGGGCAACTGTATATTCCGTCAGTTGGAGAGTCAGTCACCAAAGGCACTAGGTACTACAGTAAAGAATCAAAGAACCCTGATAATTTTTGTTTGACCCTCTCATGCAATGGCCTGTGTGCAAACACCTGCAAATGTCATTTGGTGCAGGATCACAGCAGGTGCACCAGTCCCTGTTCTCTGAGTCCCGGGGAGATGTGAGAGAAGGATGCTGGGGCAGAGCACAGCAGGATGTACTGCGGGGCTGTCTTCCTGTAAGGGACTCTGCCACCCTACTGCTCTCCCTTTGTATGATGTAAGCATGAGAACAGTCTTCAATGAGGAGAAGTGGGCTCAGACACCTAGCAATCTGAACTTGGACACCAGCCATTGGATGCTTGCTGGAAATTCCAGTTGCCCGGTATCTGGAGACTTGAGGGGCTTTTGGGAAACTGAGTCTCAGTGCAACTGCTGCTAATTAGAGGAGAAGGAGCTTCTGAACCCATGGGGAGTTGAAGCTGCTCCTGCTGAGAGAGTTAGAGCCACTGTCCCTGCTAGCTCATTTCTAGGCATTGCAAGAGGGATCCCATACATGCAATTTTCTAACTGTATTTGGAAAATTATGCTTCTCCCTTCACATGTATATGTGTGTTGTTTTGTAAACCACCAATGGAATCAATGTTTTGTGTAGCATACTTTGGAAACACTGCATTAACTACTGTGATAGAATAATTTTTAAAAATGGCCACGAATGTTCACACCTCCTTATAGCCACACCATTTGCAATGTGACTCTGTGGTCCTGCCCATTAAAAAGTAGAGTCTCTCTACTCTATCCCTGAACCCAGCCTAAGGCTGTGAGTTGCTTCTGCTAGTGGAATTCGGTGGAGGTGACGGTGTGTCAGAGCTGAGGCTAACCCTCAAGAGGCCTTGTACCTTTTCACTCACTCTATTGGACCCCTGTCATTACCATGAGAGCAAGCTTGAGCTATTCTGCTGGATGCTGAGATAATGGACCAGTCACCTCTGAACTCCTAGGCAAAAATCAGCCAACCATCAGACAAAATAGTGAGGCCATCCTAGACCAACTAGTCCCACACTGACCCCTAATCATGGGAGAGATCCCAGCCATGTCCAGAGAGCTGACTACCCAACAGAAAGCTGATAAGAGTAAGCCCAGCAGAGACCAGAACTATGCAGCTAATCTGTGGATTTATGACTAATAATAAGCACGTAATGTTTTAAGCCACTGAGTTTTGGGGTTCTGATAGCTTTGGGCTATTACTATTATGCAGTAATTGCCACGGACACAGCTACTAATTTTTGGTCTTTTTACGTTCCATTTTATATCCATGAAATCAAGGTAAAGCAGTGACTTTATTGAAAGAGAAAATTGGATCATACACACAAAAAAGATAATTAATGAAGAGTACCATACCAAGAACATGCGTGTTAACAAAGGGTTATTGTAGATATGTTGTTTTCACTCAATATGGACAACCGTGTATAGTCATAGACTAATAGTGTAAAACAGTGTGTGGTTGTATGTGGTGGGGATGGGTCTCAGGGGTGTAGACAAACATCTACAGAGAGACATTTTTCTGATTCTCTCACACAGAGCCTCCCCTAAGCACTGCATCCATCAGGTATCAGATACAATACTCATGCAATCAGACAACATTTCTGGAGATTTCTCTCCAACCTGAATTTTTTTGTTAACCTGTTTTGTCTGGAAATAATGAGTAATGGTGTGAAAAACTTCATGTTATTTTGTTTGTTTGTTTGTTTTTTGTTAGGTTTTAAGCTTGGAAGGTAGACGAAGAATCTCCTCAAAGAGCTAGAAAGATATAAAACAGTAAAATGACACCGAGTGCCTCCTTCCCCCACCCACCCCCAGTTTCTGTCCAGGGGGAGACATTGAAGCACAGAGGCCTCTCTCCTCTCAACAAAGCATTCATGGATAAACAAATTGGTGACATCTTCCTCATGCCCTGAGAAGCTGTGAGTGCCACATGAGGAGAAAGGATCTATCTTCTAGGGCAACGAAACAACGGCCGAGCAGCTCACGGAAATCGGGGGCTCGCAGGACCAGCACAATTCTTATGCCACACACTTGAGGCACTTAACTACTGCGATTTGCTGGGATGCAGCCAGCTAATGGAATTTAAATTAATGATGTACATTTCTTTTAGTTTAAGTTGTTAAACTGTATTTCCATGTTTGATAGTCATTTGCTAAATCTCTGGAAAACACTGCATATATAATAATATGCTGGAATCCCCTGTAGCATTAAAAAAAAAAAGCTAACAAGTTATATATGATTTACTCATTTGCGACACATCTGTATTTTAGAGAAACATTAGTATAATCAGAAGAAGGATTGGGTTATTGATTTGAATTCCAATTCAAATATTATTTAGGAAGATTACACTGGAAAAAAAAGATATACTTCTATCTTTTCTAAAATGAGAGACTTTGGCTCACTCCTTAATAAAAAGGAAAAATAAGAGCTGTAGAGAAATAAACAATTTCTCATAGCATAATAATTTTGTTTTAATTTAACCAGACATTTTTTATTCTTTTATTTAGCTCCCTGAACCCTAAATAACAGAGGTAAAAAATAATTTACTCATAGCCAATTAATGTGAAAAACTCAATATATAATCTTTTCACAGCATAAATGACTTGATTCTTTGCACTTTGCTAATTTGGAAAAGTGCATAAGTTTGCAAAAAATTAAGGAAGAACATTTAAGACAGGTTTCTTGAAGTTTTTCTTGTTATCTTCATTTATAGTGAATTTATTACAAAACAAACATAGATAAGATGTTTAAGTTTGGTTTATATTACATATTGGTATGCTCTTTCCACATATATAATATTGTGGTGGAAATGACACTGAACTAAGGGTCAGAAGACATGGGTCCTAGTTCCATCTCTAGCACTTAGGAACCAGGAAAGCTCAAATTGGTTGTTTAACACCTCTATAAATTGGTTGATTCATGTGTTAAGTGGTAATAATAATATTAAGTTAAAATATGTAAAATGGACAGTATTTGACCACTTTTGACCATAGACATGACAATTTTATATAGTTCAACCTAATAATGCTCTTATAGGGCTAATGTGTGAAATAAAAAAAATAAATAGAATATTTTGGAGTACTATAAAATGTACGTAGGATTTTTATTATCCGTGTGTGTGTGTGTGTGTGTGTGTGTGTGTGTGTGTGTGTGTTCACACACAGGAAACCCATTTGGCATGGCTGTAATAATAATTGATACAAATTGCTACACATTGATTTGCCTGGGATGCAAAACAGATTGAGGGGATTAGATGGAATGAGCCAACTTTTATGATTGTTAGTTTCTTCTCCATTAAAATGTCTACAATTTGGCCTTTACATTAAAAAAAAAAATTTAGTTACAAACTCAATAGCAAGCAAAGGATTAAGTCTTTCTTTACCTATTAGACAAATTAATGAACTGGCTCCTTTGTAGCCATCATCTGGATACAAAGCATTTGAAATTGAATCCAAATGTGTCTTTCTTTCAAAGACATTTAAATATTAGATTCTGGTTCAATAGCAAGCCATCTTGGGTATTCCCAGGTAACCGATGATCTTATGTCTTCCACTTTCCCTCTGGCCATGCAAAAACACCTGCCCTCTTCTGCTCTGGGACTGCACTCCTGCAACACCCCACACCCCACACCCTCCATCCTACAGCGTGCCCAAAGGACCCCAGCAGCTTCACTTTTTTGCTAGTTTAGGTGTGCTAGTCTCAGCTCAGCCACAACCAGATCTTTGAATTGAGGTCCTGCGGAAGTAGCCAACCCATCTGCAGAGAAGAAGAGAGGCACCATGAAATGCACTGATAGGATCGAGTGGTTTCAGAAAGAGTAAACACGTTATCTTCCTTTCTTATGGCTTTCTGACATGATTGTGGTCTCTTGTGAGGCCCAGCTTTACTTCCTGCCCTAAGGTTTTGTGCATTATCATGCATTCTTATAATGTTTACTTAAACTGGTCTGGTGGGTTTTTGCCCCATTCAGGGTTTTTACCACGTTCCAGGGACACTCTAGCTTCCATGGACCTTTGGCTTGTTTAAGAATCACTAGACACAATCCTTCTCCTCTGTTTAGATTTATATCTTGCCATTTTTATGTATGTTATACCAACATACAGGGTTTTTAAATGCAATTGTTTATCAGGTTTATACTCAAGTGACTTTTGGCCTTTAATCAGAATCAAATTCACTCAAATGTTTAAGAGAAAAAGAAAGGATTTTTTTGTTAAGATTTTGTTGGAGAATTGGGAAAGGGGAACAGACAAGTTGCTGTCCTTCTGTTCTTCAGTCTAGTTGTGGAGGATGTCGCTTCACTGGCCCATGTTGGTATTATCATTGCACTCTTCCCAGGTGAGGCAGATGGGTCGCCAGCCACTGGACGACCACTCACAGCGGCTCTTGGCAGCTCACACTAGCTGCCAGCCACCAGCCACTCACGCCAGCTGGCAGCCACTCATGGTAGCTTATAGCAGCCCACTGCAGCTCCACTTCAGCCTACGTTGTCGCTGGTGACTCATGACAGCCCAGCTCCAGGTCGAGCTGTTGTTCACCATCTTAGCTGTAGAGGGCGCAGCATCACTGGCCCTAATGTGGGATCCAAACCGGGGCCCTGCTGCTCAGAACTGGCGTCCCAAGCCAACTCTTAACCAATGCTCCACTCAGCCGGCCCAAGAAAGGATTTTTGATAGTTAAAGATATCCAAAGAGCTGTGCTATGTGAGACTGAAAAGTACACATCCAAGGAGGATTTCCAAGAACCTTTTAAGTAATTATAGCTTCTTTGGACTATTTGGATGGCCTCCTACACTGCCTGTTTTCGAGGCAGCAACCCTCAATGGGCACGATAAAGAGAAAGTCACTTTTCAGAGTTGCACCTTGAAATGCATATTTTAAGATCACCACATGATGAAGTAATTATAAGTGGTATTGATACTTTTCCCACTATGAACCTCAAATTAGTGCTTTTTAAAGGTGGAGATTGACAACTGTGGCTTCCAGCAGCTTAAAGTAAGTAAATATAAACAAAAAACTGAAAAAAACCCCAAATCAAACATTTTTTCCCATCTAGCTTCTTCCCAGTGGTGTAATCAGAGCAACCAGGCAGCAGTGGTTTCTTGAGTCTGTTTGGATAGAGCCTCTTACAGACCTATTTTATGTAACGGTGGCACGGATGCCCTTTTGTATTTTGCAAGCGAGAGAAGTCTTTATGTTAGAGTCTCTCTGAAGGACAGCAGTGACACTGTACTCTAGGAGATATTTCTTGTTTAAACAAGTTACAAGAAGATTATTTGAAGGGTAACAGCCAGGTTATGTACCCCATAAAAGTACAAATGATTTACAAATATTTAACAAGGAAAAAACTAATTATGCTGCTCTTGTCACAGAGAGGCCAGCCTCAGAAATGGTATAATCAATATGGGAATGTTAGCTGTAATACAGTCTGTCAGCTTTTTAACCAAGCAAAAAAAAAAAAAAATCAGCAAGTCTATACACAAAGTTGAGTCCTCTGCTCCAGCCCTGTGAATTTTATACGTATATCTGGTTGCATATACCTTTCACATGTAAGGCGTCTGAACATTTGGAAGTCATTTCCAAGGCCATTTAGGAGGGCCCCCTTGGCCTGAGTTTAAATGGAATTCTATGAGAATTGGGGGCTTCGCAATGGGTCGCTGTACACCAAACACAACATTTTGTTCTCTGGATGCTAGTATTTCTTGGGACATGTGTCCTTTCCCACCAAATTTACAGAAATCTGATCTACTGAAGAAATTGTTTTCTTATCATGTGCCTATTTGAGGAGGTGCCCATTGTTGTCTGTTTTGCATGGTATTATATATGTATATAAATGTAATGATACAGATACATTCATGGGTATCTCAGGGCCCAGGAAAATTGCCCATTAGGGAGGCATCAGTCTGGAATGCTAAACAAAAGTAGCTCTCTCAATGGTATGATGAAGGAGGGAACCATGTAATGGTCATGAACACAGCTGGAGGGGGGGGGAATCTGACTCCATGAATTTAGCTCCCAGCTCTGGCCACTTAATATTTAGGATCTTGAATGCGACTCATACGCTACAAATCTTTCATCTTAGAAGTGGAGCAAGCAATGGGAGTTATTTTAGAAGGTTATGGGGAATTAAATTGTGCATGAAAAGTGTATCAGACAATCTCTAGCATGTAGTAAATAAATACTCAATAAACGTTAGCTAATAGTATCAAACCAAAGCGTTTCCTATTTCTAACTCATGTCTTAGCCTTGCTAACTTCTGGCAACAAACGGTCACTTTCATAGTAATGGCCCACATTGTGGTGGTATTTGCCAGCATCTGCCTAACATTTGGGAACTAAACACTCTACAAGAGTCACATGTGTGTCTCTGTTTCCCCAACCCCCAACCATATTCACTGGCGTTCCTGGGCTGTTTCACATGAGCTCATGGACCATCTCTTACTTTTCCTGTTGCTGTTGGCTCCACCTACAGCTTCTGATGGTGGTGCTTTGCTGCTGTAGTTACAGCCAAGATCCGAAAAGGACTCTGCCTCCCTCCTGCTGCTTCCAAAGTTAGCAGTTTGTCAGAAGTCACAGGGGTGCCATGCCCTCTTATTGTCCCCACACCTTGTGAGTTCTCCAGTGTCTCTCTCTCCTATTCCATGGCACATTTTGTTAGCCCCATTGCTTACAAAAAACAAAAACAAACTTCAACTTCGCCTACAGCGCCCCCCACAAGGGGCAGGCATGCACATGTAGGACGAAAATAGAGACCAATATCTAACATAAATAGGATGTTTTCCTCGCCATCTAAGGCTTTCTTTCAGGTATCTGCACAAAAGTGTCCTTTCCCAGCCAATTTTCCCAGGAGATCGGTTCCTTGAGCCCCTGACCAATATACCAGTTCTTACATACATACGTGCCCAGGCACTTCTGAATACCAACTGAGACTCAGCATAGTTTTCCCTCTATGTGACGTAAATGGCATGGAATAGTCCTGTATTCCAAAAAAAGTTTACTCCCTATAGTTTGGGAGGACATGATTTGACTCATGGCAGGTGTCTGAGTCCATATAGAACTGAAGGCTTGGTCAGGGCACCCTGTATTCCGTGTTTAGAGATGCGAACGTACCATAGATTCTACACATAAAGTTCTCAGAGTTGGGCTGCCTCTGATTTGTGGCTTTGTTTCATAGTTTGGGTTAGTTACCACATTTTACATTGTAGTAACTTTATTTTACTGCTACTGTCACAACAAAGCAAAGCAGCTATTATCTTATAACAAACTAAAGCTGCATTGCTAAACCATCACATCTAACCAAACCACAGTGCTATAACACCTAATTTACAGTTTATTCCAATTGCATGGACACGGGGAGCATAATATATATATATATATATATATATATGTATG